AACCTGAATTTAGTCAATTTAATTAACAATATTTCATAGACTATTTGAAGAATGTTTCATAAAATTACTATAGTAATATTTTAAGTTTTTTCGTAACAAGAAAGCTGAAAATATCAAGTTTTTCAAAGAATAGTTTTAATGTAATGAAAGCAACACAAACAGAAGAAAAAGAAAATGTTGCCAAGTGTTAAAATAAAATTGCAAACCGTATCTTGTTCCCAAGCACAACAACGAATAGAAAGGCTCAAATTCATCTTTTGAACACCACCAAAAGTATTCAAATGAAAACATTCTCATTTTAAAGTGATTTAGAGTAGTCTGTATGCCTTTAGATGTCAGCTTTTCGATTCTTAAATAGAAACTTCAGGTTCAACGGCATGGAACAAGAAATCCATGATTCTGCTTCTAGCGACCAGAGAGACAAAATAAAAGTAATTTTGGAAGTTTATTGTAGTTTATAGGCTTTAAAACAAAGTAATAAACACTTTTTGAAAAGTTTCATTAAAATTGACGATTAGAATGCAGTCGGATATTCCGATAGGGTCGTGTTTGTGCTTTGAGCTGACGCTCGATGATATTCCAAATGTGCTCTATGGGTTAAAATCCAGCGAGTTAGGTGGCCAGGACATTAAATGGAATTCATCCTTATGCTCCTAGAACCACTCCAACACAACTCGAGTCTTGTGACACGGGGTGTTGTCCTGCTGGAAGGTTCCATTTCCAGTTGGGAAGACAGACGCCATATGCACCGACGCCATATGCCATATGCATAGACGCCATATGCATAGGGTGCAAATGATACGCAATTATGTTCAGATAGTGCGCAGCTTTCATAGTCTATTCTACTACAACTAAGGGTCCCCAGAGCCGCTCATGAGAATGTCTCGCAAAGCATATTACAGCCATCACCTTTTAACCGTGTCTTAATTTCTGTCTTATCATTAGTATCACCGAAATGTATCTCTGAATCAGTCTTGAAGCAACACAGTCAGATTATATATCCAGTTCAATTTTGCAGAAATTTCATATCTTTTGTAAACCCAAACTAATATACGGAAAATCAGTTACCCTAGGAAAAACTTGCGATGAATTTTGTGGAAATAACATTACTAAAATAAACAAAATTATATTCCACAGTGCCGTCTTAGATAAAAGTGCTAAAATGATACTATCATAAAATCATATAGACTAGGGTTACAAATCATTGTACCTCAACAGTCTATTTTATGATGACATAAAAATTCATCCTTCGCATTAATCATTTTTGCATCTCATCTTTCTGATTAATAAAAACTTTAACTTTATAGGGGTTCTTCACTCCTTTTGTCTAAGCTGAAATTTGAGGAACCTAGCGAATTATCGTTGATTTCAAATAGCTAGAGTTGTAGACTCGAGAAGGCTTAAGTTACCCTTTATTCCACTCAAAATAAGAATAACAGTCGGCTCTTTTCTCGGGCTCACAAGAAAGCCGCTACTCAGGCTTTAACTCAGAATAAGAAACTAAACTGTAACTAACTAAAGGAGACTTAGCTAAAGCTAAACACAAGTATTTAACGTAGTTGGCCCTTAATTTAAACTAGCTGGCGAATATCAAGAGGCGCGTAATAATACGGTCGAGCGTAACAGCTTTAAGAGATACTTAGCCCGAAGGCAAACACGCGCTACTCAGAATTCCCAGCTGTCTCTCAGTTAGTTGGAACTCTTTTTAAATACTACTTCCAGCTCATTTGCATTTAACGCGCTTCTAAAAACTCATTCTGGAAGGGAGTTGTAATTGGAAACAAGAATTGATGGGAAAGAGACATTAAAATTAAAATAACTGTTATGAAATTAAAATATACCTTACACTGTTTGTTATCATAAACTCATATAAACTAGGATTTGCAAATCATTGTATCTCAACAATCTATTTTATGGAAACATTAAAAATCCATCCTTCGCATTAATCATTTTTGCATCTAAACTTTCTGATTAATAAAACTTTAAAATATCATCTCGCATAAATTGCTTCGGGAAAACGCCCGCTGGTAAAGCATCTTGAACAAGGTCTGCATGTAATTTGAATTATCTCAAAACATGTTTTTGACTCTTATTCTGCTAACGAAAAGAAGACGCAGAAGCTTTTTATTTTTCATCATTTGCTGATTTATCGTTTGTTTGTTGATCCGCTTCGAAGCAGAAACGGTTAAGTATTATAAGCACAATACTCTCGATCAAGAATCGATGACTTTGCTAAGAAAATTTTCATTCCTTGCAAGAGTACCTAATTAATTTAATTGTTGATTTAAAACATCCTCTCTAAGAACTCTTTTCTTGAAAAAAAAAATGCAAGACAAAGTACTTCAGGAATATCCTATTTCATGTAATTTTTATTAATTGATAAAAGGAATAAGGGTTTTAAAAGTGTGTGATAAAACTAGCATGCACAAAATCTGTTATTACTATGTATCAAAAATATGTACTTAACAATTTTGTTAAAAATATCAGATAAAGTTGGTAAAAGAAAGGCTCTTTCGAACGAGAATCTTGAGCTGTATGTAGAGTGCTTTAGCTTCCAGTTTATTGCTGCATTATGCCAGTCTCTTTAATAATTTTCTAAATTGATTTTTGTCGTTAGAACAGTGCGAAATACTTCAAGCGTTTACAGAAAATGTTTTAAAATGAGATTATAAAAATGTGAAGAAAAGAAAATATTTAAAATTCACTTTTAGTTTATATAACAAGTGTAAGAGCATTCTTAATAGTGGAATATTTTTAACGCACAAATATAAAATAACAGGCTCCTTATGTTCATATTCGCAAAATATTAGTTTATGGGTATTATAATATTACAGACAATGATTCGATCTGGACTATAAAGGCAGGAGAACTTTTATTTTGGGACTAAAATACTTACAAAGATATATTTACAATAAACAATCAAAGAAACATCATTATTACACTATTTGACTCCCCAGCTCTCAAGAAGTCAGAAGCGGTTTCAGTGAGAAGTATAGCTTTTGGAAAAAGCGAAGAAATCTCCAGGACACTCATATATTAAAATATTGTTGCATGCGTACGGGTTCATAATAGACTGAGTGCACACAGGTCCGATTATACATTAATAAAATTTATTTTTATCAAAAAAAGGTATTTCAGTGTTATGTAATTTTCCACAAAAATATTCGTACAAATGTTAACAGTATCACACAGTACAATCAGTAGTTACACTTCAAACTACTAACAGCGTTGAACACAACGCAATGCAAAACGTATCTAAAGAGAAAGCTAATCCGATCTCATTCTGAATTAGCAACTCTCAGCAATAACAATTGACTAAAACAACTGAGAGCAGATGCTTTCTGAGGCCTAGTTTTCAACCGACCGTCGAGATATTTCTAGTACTTTCTGTTTCTCGAAATTACTGGGAAGTAATATGAGGGTCGAATTACGGTTACAGATCATACAGTGATCAATTACGTTTATTCAATTACAATACTTATCACGGTGATATAGGGATCTGACCGAAATGTCGTCAAATGGTCAGAACACCAAAGACGAACCTCTGACCTAGATCTAAAAGTATGCCTTTCAGGGAGTTGCGTCCGTACTCCGGAGGCCCCCGCCATCCCCCTTGAGCTACCACGGAGCATAGGGCCAAGTAACGCTCTCACGAGATAAAAACGAAGACACCTGTGCGCCCAGGCACCACTTTGGGAGCAATGAAGATTCAAAAGGCTGACACATGACAGTCCCCTTCAGGGGACCGAATGAGACCAAACTCCCAAAGACAGCCACAATATCGCACGATGAAACCACTCCACAGCAAAGGGGCAGACACGACAACACCAGTTCGGTTCTTGCCAAACCTGAACCATCCCCCGAATGAACGGAGGTTCTAGGATCGTATCTTTTCTTCTGGCATCAACTTCCAAGAGTAGTTAAACATTTTTCCAAAGGCCATTAGTAATCATAATAAAATAAGAGGTGTTACACCACACCCGAAGGCGAGAACAATGTCATGAGATAAACTCAGTAAATAGTAATTTTTAAATGCAATTAAATGGCATGTCAGTAGCAGTCAAGAGGCAATTATCATTCATGGCAGCAGCAGTCGAGATGAGAGAGAGGCATCAGTGAGCGAGGAGATAAGTGCTAGGTCACGTGAGTCGAGGAGCTATGGGATTGGTCGGTGCAAAATAAGTCATAAGTTTCATAAAGTTCTAGTCCTGTAAAGACTGATTTTATACCCCCGTGATTGAAGCTGCTTAAGTCCTAGCCAGTACTTCCCAGGAATTCTCCTGAGTCAACCCCCGGTGAGGAAGTGCCAAATGATCACCAAGTTTGGCGAATTTTGGAGATTTCTCACCAAATTACCGAGATACCCATTTACTCAATGTTAAATACACTTGTTCCTGTATTCTTACTTTTCGGGCATAGCTTCTCTTTAGATTTTTCATATTCCATTATACAAAAGAAATACAAAAATTTTACTTACAATTCCAATAAAATTACCTATCTAATTATAAAATTCGTAGCAATATATTTGAATATGCATATATTTTCTCTGAGTTTAAAACTTTGACTGGAATTAAAACACTGAGTATGACTCGCTGCTGAACATCAAACACAGCCATTTTAATCCCCAAGGGATAGTCTATAACCAAAAAGAAAATGTGGGGGAGAGGGGAGGGAACGAACAAGTTTATGAATTTTTCAAATCCTTCTGTCTTTCAACAGCCATCAAAAATATTATGTTTACCGTTAAAATATTTATAAGAGTGTAGCCACTTTCATTCGAAGAGCCCCCCACTTAAGCCAAACGAAATGTCCCAGCTGGTGTTGCTACATATATAAAATTAAATGTGTTCTCAAGTTCGAGAATTTTAAATTAATATTTTAATGGGAATTTTTATTAAATACTTAGGCATGCATACTAAGCGTTTTGTATTCTTTCTTTATGAATTTATATTAAATAATACTTACGTATATGTTCTAAGAACTCCGTATTCTTTCTTTAGGAATTAGAAGAAGTATATACTGATTTGAGTGATACAATATCAGGGGCTATTTTATCAGCTGCCGAAATGTTAGTTAGTAAAGTAAGTATATTTTTTATGAAAATATTATTCGAAAGGATATAGACATTTTTGTATTCTTTTTGTTTGATAAATTATTATACTTTTTTATTTAGTTCACTCGTGGTGATTCACTCTAGAAGTTTGTCATTTATTTTTAATTTACTTCCTCATAATCTATCGAGCTCAAATTTTGCACAGACACTGTTGGTCGATGACAAAGTGGCGAAGCGATTTTTTCAAAATTTGATTTAGTTTTTTTATCAATTTTTTCCGCATATCTCTGTTTAACGAAGAAACTAAATATATCAGAAGCTTACAACTTGCACAATCGAGTACGGATGAAAAAATTTTAATTTAATTTATGATTTTTTGGTCGAATTTTTGAAAATCTCTCTATTAGATGTTTAAGATTTTAAAACTTCAACATCAAAAAACGTACTGAATATAAAGTTTTGAAATTTTCATACATTATGAAACAAATTTTTTGGCCCTTTTAAGACACGAATTTAAAAAAAAAAATTAATTGAATTTTTCTACATTTTTCGAAAAACCTTTTGCAGTCTGAAGCAGAGAGTGAAGAAAAGCGTTTTCCATGAAAAAAGTGCTTTTCAGTTTGCCATCTTGGAGAACCTAATAATTTATTGGTGATATTCGTTTCTCATAAGCTTTTTTTTTATTGATAAATTGTAATTGGGACTAAAAAACTAACTTAGACTAAGTTTTTATTACTATTATGTTGTAAATGTATTTATATTTATATTCACAACATAAATATAAATACATTTACAACATAATAGTAATACATTAAGTTTGCGTGATAATTAATGAAATAAAAGGAAAAAAAAATTTACATATTTTAATGAGAATAATAGATTAAATAATACTATTTACAGAAATCTGCCGTTTTATATCGGGAATAATAAAAGTGTGGGGGCATGATAAATTTAAAAAGATAATGGCTGATATATTTGACAATCCAATTAAATTCATAGATTTCTTTAATTAGAAGCTTGACACTTTTATTATTCGCGGTATAAAACTGTAGATGAATTCTGTAAATGGAATTTATCTATTTTTTTCGATTTTAAAATATTTTTTTCTCTCGTAAGAATTATGTAAAAGAATGATTTAATTTATTATTCCCATTAAAATATATAAACTATTTTTCTCAGATGAATTCTGTAAACAGAATTACTTAATCTATTACTATTATGTTGTAAATGTATTTATATTTATGTTGTGAATATGAAGATATTAAGAGTAACTGCAGTTTTTGAGCGTAAAATAATTACATGAATAGGTCATAAAATTATTTTATCTCATACCTTTTAGTGCGAATCAAGCTAATATAAATGGCCTTTAGATCATTTTTTTTTACATTTTATTTTTCATTTTTGCTAAAGTACACAGATAAATTATTATTATTATTGAACACATAATCCATTTCCATTCAACTAAAATTAAACAGCGACTTTTTGCATTATTGGACAAAATAATAAATATGTTCTTAAATAATATAAATTAACGTAAAATAAATAGAATGATTGTATTTCATGCTATTTAAATCAGTAAGAATTTTAAATCATGTAAGTAAATTAAGAGCAAGCGTAGTTTTATTTGCTGTATGAAGAATGATCTGAGCTATTCTTTCAGATATCTGGAATCAGAATAACTGAAATTCTACTATCTTTTATGGGATTTTTTATTTGCGTTATTTTATTTATAGACAAAAGAAGAAAAGCACAAAATTTCGCTAAAAATTATACTGATCAAAAATCATAATTATCAAAGGATAATTAAATCAAAGAACTATTAATTAAGCTTAACATCTATTGGTAGGGAGCAATTAGTAAATGTTCCATTCACGTTTCGCCATTTTCAAATCTTACAAAATATGCAGCTTCAGAATTCGTAAAAATTCAATTCTGCTTATATAACCTGTTTATAATTTATAGCCATTAAATCTTTAAAAAAAAAAAGAAAAGAAAAGAAATGCAGGTTTTTTTTAGGGTGAATAATGAAGTATTTTTTTAAATTTTATTTAATCGTCTAATATTCCAGAATTAAGATGCCACTTATATTTGAGATCTGAATGAATGATTTTAGAAATTTCCTTTCCTGTTTTAGTCTAGGGAGCAGGGAACTCACTACGAAAACATCGCCGCTGCCGCGCAGGCTGTCAAAACTAAGGCAGACTTGGCGAACTTCATCCGTTCCTTAAACGTGGAAAAGGTATCCCAGCCAGTCACAAAACATTTATACAATCCGCCTTATATGGAAAATGATCCTGCGCAAATGGTAAGTGTTAACACATTCTTCTTTAAATAGTTTATTTGCTGCTCGTAATTGTTTCTACAGTTTTAGAGGCCGCCTAAATAGTATAGTAGTAGGGAAGCCTACTGCGGTACCGAAAGGCCCGAGTTCAAAACCCGGAGAAGGCATGCATTATAAAATGGGGGCACTCTAAATATATGGCGATCCGAAAGTTTTCTCGTGTGGTTTGGTGGTAGCTGAGAGAAGTGGAAGACCCTCGGACCACCCCCCGAAGGCACTCTTCTTCAAAATTGGGATGAAAATAGAAGTCCAACCTCCTTGGGGGTCTGGCGACCATTCTTCCTTGCAGTACAAGAAAACAACAAGAAAAGTTTTGGAGATAAATGAGGCATCAGTATTTAACAGTCATGCATTCAATGATTGATAAATGGAATACGATCAAATTTTTTTGTTTCTTCAAGTTCTGTGAAGTTCTGCATCAAGCCGATGGGAGCACTTTTATCAGGCGAATAAGAAATACAGAATTGGTTTTGAAACATAGAGGCCATCCTATTTGGCCTTGCAATTATTTCCCATATCTTCAATATAATATTCAACGAAATTTCGAAATTTGTTTATAATTGTGCTGATCCACTTTCAAAATGTATCTAAAAATGAGATTAGATTCTTGCACATACCATGTGCATCGCGTTAGATAATAAAAAACATCATTTTTTATAAAAATATAATTTTATTTACAGATCGAATTTGCATGCAGCATCGCGACTGCAGATCTTAGCTTCCACTCGAAATATACTTTTCGTTTCCACACAGCAGGGAATGCGGAATAATAAGTTACAATTGCAAAAGGGGCTTGGCAAAGCATATCGTATCTGGCAGATTTAAGCAAATACTTAACGTTTTAAGTACTATATTAAAAAGTACAATTTTAAGTTTTTAATTTTATTTTATGTGTGAGAACACGAAGTCTTCAATGATTGAACAAAATGCATTAGGAATATTGCATACATCATTTGAGGGATCGAGTAATTAAATTCATATAAGGAAACGTCATTCTGAACCAAAAATAAGAAAAGTGTGAATAAAAAATAAATTTCAGTCCTAAAATTGAATATGTAAGTATCCAGCGCCCAACAGTGGCCGAATGGTAAAAACATATAAACGCTGGTAATTTGACATGGATTCTACTTCAGGAGAACGGATTGTCACCAGAACTGTTTTTGTGGTTTTCTCCATGTGAATAAATACGCTACTTTTTCTTTTCTTGAAACTTAAGAACGGCAGTTTTTGCTTTATTATGCAGTGCTACTGTTAGAAGCGCCCCATTAGTGATAAAGACTTTAAGACAGCTGAAACTGGGGTTTCAATCCTGGTTTAATACCAGACTAAAAAGGCCCATCAGCGGTCAAGTGGTAAAGTTTCTTGAACACTGGTTAGTTCCGATCTGGATTCCATTCCAGGTAAACGGGCTGGCTGCATGGACATTTTCTTAGTTTTCCAAATATGTAAATTTACACAATCCAGTTTCCTTAGAACGTCCTCCTCGAAAGGCAACCCTCTCCTTAGGCAGATATCCCTAGTGTGTTTTGCCATATTCTCAATAAACCAAACAAAAAAAATCTATCCAAACAAAAATGTTGGCTGTATGGTTGATTTTCGTGTTTTACCTCATAAAGAACGTGAATACGACCCAGTTTCTCTCAAAATCCTCCAAAAAGGCGTCGCTTACCTTAGATTTCGACCTCGTGTGCTTTACCATATTCAAGCAACCTAACCTTTTATTAGAAACCTTTCAAGCTTTAAATATATCAAATTTAAATAATAATATAAGCTTATTACCTGAATAAATATTCAGACTTTTAATAACAGTGCTTAAATAAAAAAAATGTATGTAATGGTGGCAAAAGTCACGACAAAAAATAAGCATATGTATGTAAGCAATTCAGTGTTCCTGGAGCATATTTCCTTCGATATTACTGTCTGTGTCTGTTTGCTGAAAAAATAAGACGTTTTCTCAAACTATATTTACATGAAAGTGTTTGCATCTGACAAGACATTCTCTGCCTTTCCATTGCACATTTTCTTTTATTCTTTCTAGGAGGCCGGAATGATGCTGAGGAATGAACTAGTTATAGACAGATTGTCACAGCTGCCAAACCGATCGCAGACGTTGAAACAAGACATCTCGAATCTCGAAGCTCAGATCAAGCAACTTCAAGAAGCTGTCGAGTCTATGGAGCGACTACAACGGCGGTAAATATTTATCTTCTCCAAGGAAACTTCGACATCGTTTGTTACCAGGCGCTTAGCCTACTTAGCCTGAAGATCAAATGGACACATTTGTTAGATGAAAAGCAGACCAAACTAATTATATATATTTTTAATTCTTAGCATCGTAATATACGACGCAACTTTTGTTTTTCAAATACCAAACTACTAGAAATGTGAAATAACGAAGAGTTTTTTAACTGAAATTTATTACCAGTTCATAATAATTAAGGTTTAATAATAATATATGACTTGAAGTATAAAAATTTGCATGCGAATGTAACAAAAGAATTTTTATCCCCATTCTGTATACTTGTTATACGTAGCATAGAGCCGTTCAGTTACCGAAAGTATAAGACAGGTGAACGCTGGTAATTCGTTCTGCGGTCTGTTTTCTGCACCTAAAGATGCTGAGTGAGTGGGCTTTTCATAATACATAATATGTATAAGCTAATTTATCCTTTAAAGTCCTCTAAGGAAGCATTACTCTAATCTTATTTTATAGGGAAATTTAAGCATGGATAATAAATTTAGGCAGAAATGGTCAGAGATAAACGCTTTTTTCTTATATTATTATTTAATTCAAATTATATAAAATTGCACTGAATCTACTAAAAGGTTTTTACATGTGTCACAAACTCTATATGCGGTCATTTTCGCTAGTACGACAGTTGCCCCCCCCCCGTCTATGCGATATTCCGTATTGTCTCACTATCAGTATATGAAGGCGGAGAGTGAATAAATGAAAGGAGATTACCCTTGACTAAGGCTCAGAAGGAAAGTCATATGGTATTAAATCTTTAGACCGAAATGTCCACTGGAGTGACGTGTTATTTCCTTCTCTTTTTTTGTCTTTTACATCTTTGTGATAAATTTTGATTGAGATACTAAAGTAAATGATTTCTTTAATGATCTTTTTGGTAACATCGTGGTCATTATCACCACTTTCATTCAGTTGTGGCCTTATCTGAGTTTTCAGTGTATTCAGATATTGAAATAAGACATCTTAAGCCTCAAAGTTTTGCTACAGCAAAACACAGCAACGACGAAATGGACGTAAAATAACGCACCTTTGGGCGTAATCTTATTATTATTATTGTAGTTATTTATTATTAGATTAAAATAATCTTTTCATTGCTTTCTTCTTAGGAGCTTAGAATCATGCTTGTTCAATAAAGCAAATGAATTACAAGAAGATGTGAGCTTAAAGAAATTTGACTTGCAAGTTGCTTTCATACATCTTGCTGCCGTGAAAGCGCAGGTAAGACAGACATTTCATATTTAAAATCAGTTCTTCAGTATCTCGTAAGAGATATCCGAAGATACAAAAAAATTAAATTGTATTTTGATTCAGTTGTAAAGATTTAAAGATATGTCTCCCAGATACTTCTAAACTTCCCAGATAGTCAGATCATTTGCTCGACACACAGAATATTCTGAATTCCACAAAAAGCGAGTTGTGTCTTCAATTATTTCTAGTTTTTTACTTTCTCCAATTTTTTTTTACAATGTCATCTAAAAATCACTAACAACACACTTTCAAAAGCTGTGGAATTCCAAAATGGTTAATAGTAATTATGTTTAACCAGGATCAAATTCCTATAGTGTTACAAGCAATATGTCATTCGAAATTGCAGTTGCCGTTTAAACTGTTAGCTTTTTAAAACGAATGTTTGGTTCAAGATGGATGCGAGTTTTCTTAAGCAGGACGAATTTTCATGATCGAGCATTACATCGCAAGCCATAAATTTACCCCTCATAATCCTTTTTGGTAATTGCGACATTTTATCTGACTTTGCCCATTCTAACTGAACTCAGAAGAGATGCACGGTGAATTCATTCCTTCGCTTCTAGTTTCTGGAAATCATGCTACCAGCTGAAAATCCATTTCCTTGTCAGGTTCGCTATTTGGAAAAGTCTCTTATTTAAAGTCGTAGGGATTATTTTAATTTTCAAATAACTATTTTTAATTTTGAAACTCTTTCTTTTAAATTCTTCTTTTTCACCTACAACTCCCATAATGAGATTTCAGCATCGTGCTTTACGTAAATGAAGTAGAACCAGTATTCAATGAGAAGTTCAGTCACGTCCGTAGAAGAGCTCAGAATTTCTCAGTAGGGCGTGTTCTGCCTTCGGGCCACGTCGTTGGTTAAGCCTATCTTACTCCGGCCTGTTAGGCTGCGTTCAAACGGCGGCGTAAGGGACATAGAGGCATAGTAATAAGGGCATAAAATACGGGAGCTCCGTTCACACCTGCGAAAACGGTGTGTAAGCCGTGGCCAATGAGAAAAGCTAAATTTGCGCATGCGTGGATGTGTTTACAATTTTCCCGCGCTGTTCTCCTGCTCGATTGATTTCCCGCGTTCTTTCTGCTTGTTTTGTAACAGCGAAATCTTCTGTAGAACGCCGCTTCGTTTTATCTTCGCTGTCATTGATCGACGCTTATCCCAAAGTCAGCGTAAAGTTGAAAACTTTGAACCCTATGTCACGAGCCCTAAACCAGATTTTGTGACGTAGCACAGACTGCTTGCCTTGGCAACAGAGCTCGGCTTTAACTACTTATACCCTCTGCGCTCCCGTCTGAACGCAGCTTTAAGATCCGCCGGTGAGGTTTAATTACGGACCAACTCAGTTAATTATTTTTGTACAGCTTCGGCTAAAGAACTCAAGCCTTGGACGTCTCGAATACACGCCGAGTGTGCTACTGTTACATCACGAAGGCATGATGGAAGGAGGAAGAAAATGCTTTATATCATACTGCCTTTTAAATGGCGACTGGGGATTAGGGGACCCAGTCGTCAAATCCTGGTGATGACGATTTATTGTCCGCCGCATTTTAGTTTGGGCGCCATTTGTAGAATTATTAGGTAATTATCTAGTAGGAGATGTGAAAAATGTACATTGCCCTCGCCGGGGCTCGAACCTGGACCTCTCGAATACACACCGAGTGTGCTACCGTTTCAATATTATGAGTCATTATTACGATTACGAGTCAATATTACGATTATGTGCATTAGAGTGATTATGAGATTATTATGAGTATAATGATTATGATTAGTATGAGATTATGAGTATTATTAATTATTCTTATTATGAATCATAATTATTATGACTGTGATTCAATATTATACTTAATCAGTATTATGAGTATGTTTCGCCTGAGCCGCTTTCTTGAGCTATCGCAAGGCTCGGTGGTGGAACATTATTTTAAATTAATTCTGTACTATTCTTATTTTTATTCGCTTATGAGCTGACATTAGTTATTTTGCCAATTTTGAAGCTCGTTCTTTCTTTCGTTTCAAGCAATGTGTCAAAAGAAAATTGTCAGGCAATAATTAGAATTACTTTCTCAGGTCCCCCTTAAATGGTTTATTGCTTGAAATTGTACGGAGCTGAAGCAAGCTGGCTTCTCATGGCTCAGAAATCGTTTTTATGTCACTGTTCTCTTTACACATTCATACTGTGACTCATTCTGACTGATTCTGATTCATAATTGTGACTGTATCAAACACTAGCATGCTCAGGGGGATACCTCGCCACATATCTTTGATAAGCTCATTACTACATAGCTTTCATACTGTAGTTGCATTGGGTAGCGCAAGAGTTAAAATTGCTTAAATTGACGCGATTCAAAAACTGGTGAAGAATATAATTCAAAATAAATGGAAAAAAAAGTTAAAAATTACAAAATTACATGTAAAATGTAAGTTTACGTATTTCAACTCAATAATCTGTCATCTTCAGCATCTTGTAATCATCAGCCCTGAAAGTCGAAGCGTACTTGGAGATGAAAAGCGACATATTTGCATTCACTGCATTCGAATCAACTGAACATTTACTGAACTCCTTGAAGATAGCCCCATATCGTCAATGTTTGAAGTATCATAGATGTAGTCTTTGAAGTAGTTCCAAAGGAAAATGTTTGCTGGTGTCAGATGAAAGGAGCCAGGAACCCTCCCCCCGCTACCTCTATGAGTTAATCCAGGAATGCTGAGGGAAAGGACTGGACATTCCAATCATCCTTGTCTTTCGATCCGTTGTTGTAAAAAATTATTCTATCTGTCAGATAAAATAATTTTGACAGATCCATCGATCGAAAACTTACTGATATTTCGTGTTAATTATTTCTTTGTACGTAGGTAGGACTTATTGAGATCACCTTTCTTTACCTCGTTTTGTAATCTTACAGCTTTAATTGAAACATAATTACTCCTGAGCCGTCTTATATAACGCCATCGATTCGATGTTTGTTCAATTTTTCAAACAGTTTTGTAGATGTTAAATATCTGTTAAAATCGACGGAATACAGTAGTATGTTGTAATACTTTTGTCAATATATTTAATAACTCTAATAAAATCAGGTACAGCTAAAAGTGTTGGGAGCACCAAAAACTTCATTTAAGATCGAACAGGTATAGCTCCCAATAACTAACCGACTATAAGAAGAAGAATAAAGCTGATGATAGTTCTTTAGAGGGAGGTTAAGAAGTTTAATATTAAGAGAGGAGGACTAAGAAGGGAGAAAGGTTATTAAAAGAAAACTAGAAGGGTCATAAGAAGGGTTACTGTGTAATGGGTGTATCAATTATTAATCGACAGGAGGAGATCAGATCTGTAACACTTTGTACTTTGAGAAAGGAGGGAAATCTAATAAAACAAGTTTTTATTAAGCTAGCATAGAATATATGACAAATTTATAATAATACTTGACATAAAAAATAGAATATAAAATGTAGAGTGATGCATGAAGTATAGAATAATACATAATGTGTCATGTAATAAAAGTTTGAATTTTCCAAATTTGGAATAAAATGCTAAAACAAAATATATCATAAAAATTTTAAATAATACTTAAAATATAGAAAATAAAATATATAATAATACAGAGTAATGCATAATATATCACATGATAAAACTTAGAATTTAGAATATATGGGATCTATTATATATAGGGAATATACAGAATATACAGGATTATATAATATATAGGTATTTGAATGTGTTGGCCATGGATATTTATCAAATTTCCCACCTGGACTGTTTTAAATTTCTTGGTTTCTTGACTAGCTCAGGTGGTCATGTGATAATTTTAACTCTTAAGAAAATAAAATATAGAATAATACACAATATATCATATAATAAAATTTAGAATTGAATGTTTAATCATAGGATAATAATGTATCACATATACATTATGTATATCTAATAAAATCATGATATAAAAAATGAGAAAAAAACCATCACATGTTTTTATGAATGTGTTTAGCTTGTTCTAAACATACCTCATAAGATACCTTTAAACCATTGGGTTCTTGATGGCTGCAAGATATTTCGTCTATTCGTTCTGCTGAAAGATATTCTTCTGTCTAGTTCGTTTAAGCTTCAAATCATTAAATACACAACTCCTGGCATTTCTCTAGTATTAGTAGTATTTTGATTTATGCAAACTGATATAGTGCCTACTTACTTTATATACTTAAGATTTGATAACAGATAACACACTGTGTTTCTCCATTATGTCTTAGGTAATACTGAATGAAACTCGAAGAATACGCGCAACGGATTTTAACGGTCGAAGAGTGATGCAGCAGTTTCTCACTAAATATGCTTTTTTTAGAAAGAAAATAATGTTTAGCATTAGTCAATCTATCCTGAATTGCTGTTGTTAACACTGATGATGTCATTTTCTTGAATTTTACTGAACATCACCAGCTAGTTCCCGTCTTAACGGTTGTTTTACACGGCCTGTGTTGCACAAATAAGATTTATTCTGTTTATTGTTATTTAAAGCATTAAGAATGGTCTAAGATGTTTTCCAAATATTTTTATAAGATTTTTTTTATCCAATAAAAAGGGCAAGTCCCAACAATAATTCAATCCAGTCCTCTCAAATTAAATGCTTTATATTACTTGATTTTCTGCAATCAATCAACCTTCTTTAACGTCAGAAAGCTTCTGGCATAAAATTTAAACCTTTATGGTATATAACGCCAGGGTTAATTTTGATAATTTTTTTTCAGTTGGATCTGTTTACATCCAGTAAAAATGATCAGACTCTCGATGGCAATCACTTAAAGGAACGGAAACAGTCTACTGCCAGTACAGGAAGCGGTACTGCGAAGAACAAGTGGTTGAAAGCCTTCCTAAATTTGAAAACTGCCAGTAGTGGTAGCCTTGCAGACAAGTAATTTTACTGTTCTTATTTTTAACAACCAATTACAAGAAGCATGCATAAAATTAATAGTTTTTATCATAATTGTTTTTTCAAATACTGTAAAATAATTTTCCTGAAATGTTAAGCATTTGTTAAAGCAAGCTTGTTTTTTTTAGTAGTTGCCTCATTAAGTTTAGTTAAAATTTAGGAAATCTTTTATTTCGGTCGTAAATACACATTAAAATTTGTTCTCAGTCAGCAATTTTGTTTTGTAAAAATCTTCGCAAATTTTGTAAATTAAAGAACATTTCGTACTTAATTTATTAAAGAAAAATACATATTTTACTAATTTTACTTTACAATTTACGGAGATAATGTAAACATTTCAAAATTTTCATCATCGCACTGTTCTTGCACTAGTGTTAGAACTATTTTCATAAAACTCTGCGTGTAATTTTGAGAAGCTTTGCAACTTAAAATGTGTATCTAAAGTCAATATTGAAGGAAATAAAGCACGTAGACACTTTCTCAAATCCATGTATGATGGAATTAAGTACTTTATTTCATTGTCAATAAAATTAACAAATTATTCCAAGAACAATTTAGGAAAGCTTAAGAATAATTCCATGAAATATGTATTCCCATAAGAGCTACAATAAAATCTCTCGCAACCGTTACCCAATGAACCGGTAATTTCAAAATAACAGCACTTTAGAGGGCCTAAACCTACACTTAAGATGTATGAGATGAAACGAATATCCAATGAGTATGGAATTGAAGCGAATCCCACATACAGTCTAAATATTTGTATGTGGAAAAACTTATATTACGTTTCTGCCGCTCAACGTAGCATGTCTTATCGAACCAACACATCAAGGAATTATCTAAAATATAAAGATGATTTACCGACCCATTTTATACGTCGAACTTTGAATGTAGGGTCCATAATTTTCAAAAACAATTCCATAGAAATACCCAAGATGTACTTTACCTCTTGCTCAGAAAGATGTAAAGATCATTTTTCGTCTCTGCTGACTCATATTGTGGCTTATGATCATGTTCTTAAATAACGAGTCAAGATTCTTTTGGTTTTAAAACACAATCGGCGTCTGTGGCCGATATCTTGGTTTTAATTACATTTTCGGAGAAAATAAAGTATTGGTTAAAATGAGATACAAGCTTAGACAGATATAGTATATAATGTCATTTCCATTGCTCGCCGCTCCCAAGATGACAAAAAATCGGTCATGTACAAGGAAAAGAGAAAAATTATCAAAAGGAAGGGAGGAGGATGAAGACGAAGACAATATGCAGCGAAAGCGGAAGAAAGCTTATGAAGGATTGCAGACTTTCATAAGATGTGACGATCAATGCTTATCCAAGTCAGTGTATGATGCTATGTAGCTCCATTGTTATACCATGCGAATTTTTAAAACTACGGCTACAAACCTATAAGCAGGCAGACATTCGAAGCTATAGGCCACTACACTAAGAAATTCGTAACTTTCATGCAATAATAAAATAATGCTCAATTTTGTTTTTCTGAAATACAAAACCATGTGTAGGTGGTTTAATTTTACTTAATCTGTACGATTTTCGATATTATTCATTAATTTGTGACAGATAAATTAAAAACCCTACAGATAGACTTCGCAAGCTGCAATTTCTATAGGCGGTATCCCATAATAAGAAAAAGCGCACTTTAAAAATATATATTGACAAGTAAACCTTCTCTCCTTTGATACTAGTTTCCCGCAAAACTATACATTTTCTGAAAGCTTATGTCACAAGGTAGAAAAACTGTGAAATCTTAGGGGTAGAGGAACAAGCTTTTAGGAGCTATAGAGCTCACAAATTATCAGAAAAGGGTTGGAAACATGAAACCAAAAGTCGTTATAATGCTTGTTTCACGTATTTATATGAAGGTGGAGAAGGTGGAGATCTCAATATAAAGGAAGAAATAACTCGTTAAAAAGAAACAATGTACGTTGGAATATTGAAAATGGGACTTGGTATTGACTTCAACAAAATCTATTACAAGAGACAATCCATGTGCAATTCATCAAATAAACAGTGAGACAGGCAGAAAGACAGTTCACAATGGGCACATTTTACGAAAGCGATAGCCTCACACTTTGCACACTCATTATTTGTCAATGAATCGAAGCAGTCATCCATTGGTGCAATCCACATTCCAGGTTCGTTGTCCAAGTATCTGCCCTTATAAAAGGCATACTTAATCAAGTTTTTAAAACGAGAAGCGCTGAATCGATATAGTAAAAAGGACTGCAGGGTCATAAAACTATCGCGATACCAAATGTGCTCCTGTGTCTCGATAATGATTGTGCTCGTTATGTAACGAACAAAAGATTTGTACTGTCTGAAAAAAATTAATATCCAGAGGCCGGATGTTTCCCGTAAATCCATCAGGTACCAGTTCGTTTTGTAGAACTTTACAATCAGGTACTTCGGAGGCAGATAATGCATGAAGACGCATGAATGAATGCATGAATAAAAGAAATAGAGACTTCATTACGGGAATATGTCCATCTATACACACTTCAATGACTTTGTGGGTTCTATAGCTTCTAAACACTTGTCCCTCTGCCGCTAAGACTTCACAGTTTTTCTGTTTGTGATATAAGCTTCCAGGAAATATTTGGACTTCCAGCAAACCGGTATCAAAGGAGAGAGGGTTTACTTGTGAGTTACGCGGGAAAACTTCTTATCTTATTGGAATCGGCGAGATCTCGCCTGCTGCTGCTCAAAAGGGGTTCTGCAGTATATACGCGCCGGCTGAGTGGTCAGCCGTCTTTGATTACTACTAAATCTACTACTAAATCTATTTTTTGCATAAATAGGTAAGACAAAATATAAAAGACCTCTACTATTCCCAAAAGCCATACTTAGTGTGGTTCAGTTGAATATGATTCCAACAGTTTCGTAGATGTTTCCGAGTAGAGCCTAGCTAAGGCCCAGGCATATCATTCTTTCTTATTTTATTTAGTTCACTAAGATAAGCTGCGACCTGTAGGTCCAGCATCTATTTTTCTTGTTTTCAAGAAGGCAAAACAGCATCATGAAGTACTACTATAGAATGTTTATAGCCCGCAGATTGTTAGCTTAGACTGAAATCAGGTCCTGTCATCTAGACTCTTCTTATAATAGGGAAGAACAACGCAGACTCGATCACAAAAATCTAGAATCACCAAGAGTTCTAAAGAGGCCGGTGGCGCAGTGGCTAGCACATCGCACAGCAGCACCACAGGTCCGGTGTTCGAATCCCGGGCTGGGGAAGGTCGACTCAGCCTTTCATCCCTTGAGTCGATAAAATGAATACCAAGTTCGCTTGAAGACTAAACACTGGAGGTCCTGCGACAAGCTGACCACATGTTCAGGGCATATGCTTATGCACCCCGGGCCCCACAGTCAAGAAAGCAGATTACGGGGCACTGCAGGCCTTGGCCCGTTAGGGCTGTTTACGCCACTGGGTTTAGTTTTGGTTTTAGGAGTTCTAAATTTCCAAATATGAGCTTGAAAGTATATCACGTTGGATTTCAAAAGAGCATTGAAGTTACTAACTGTCTCACATAGGTAAATATCGAAAGACTCTCTCTAAGTTACTCACAACTCACTTCAATTTCGATGTTGAACTCTAAACTGAAGTAGCTCACAATTTTTTAGCCATTAACAATTTTTCCGCAGGGTACACGGGAGAAGAATTTGCATTTAATTGCAAAATCATGTAGTAAAATTCCTGTGAATGCGCATATGACTTCCAAAGTTTCTCAAATATTCTTGAAATTCGCCAAATTTAGCAACATTTTACCAATTTTAGGATAAAACTTTGTTGCCACACTCGGCATAAGAAGCGATCATCGGTTTTCAGAATTTTGAACTTAACAAACTGAAATATAATAATTTTGAAGACATATCCAGAAAACCTAGGCAGTAATTAAAAATAACGCAAAATACGAAGAACCATGCGTAGATTTATAGTACACAAAATAGAAAGTATGTATAAAATAGTATACAAAATAGAAAGCCTTTATACAATAGTGCAAATATTTTTAAAATGAAACGCCATTAAATGCAAACAAGAATTTATATAAGTTAACTGCAATGTATTTTAAACATTCACTTAATTCTTAGTCAAAACTGTCGCCAGATGCAACAAAATTATTCATTATGTCTTAAATGAAAGTTAAGTTGAGAACACGATTACATTTGTTTCTATAGTTTCAAGAATGCAGAAAACTTCTGTTTTCATATATAGGAATGATGGTGACAAGAAGAGCGGAAAGAGTGGTTCCCGCCCCTTGTCAGCTGTACCCGGCACTCTGGACGTAGCACACGTGTTTCAAGAATACACATACAAAAAAATAACTGCTTGTGATCATTGTAAAGAAATACTTAGAGGTAATATTTCTTAAGTTTATTTAACGGCGTATCCTAGGCACTACCCGAAAACCGCGAATCTGGAAAATCATTGGTTTGAGTAAATTGAGATTTTCGCTTTAAAAACTCAAAGGAAAATAGGTCGAGTTGAAACCACTGCGCAGTTACCTTGCGCATGCATCTCAAAGGCCACTGTCTCTTTTGGCATTATGCTAAACACCGAAAAACCATTCAGCAATAGTAAATAGGTGAGTAATTAAAAATACGCAAAATACGAAGAAACATGTTCAGAAGTCAAACAACAAAAATCAGCGTTATGTTTTCAAATTTTCACAGGACTAGTTTCAATGGTTTTACCGAACCACTATCCTCAGCTGCAAAATTTTGCGTTTTTGCAGCTGAGAATTTCGATGGTTTTAATCGAAACTAATCCTGTGAAAATTTGAAAACATAACGCTGATTTTTGTTGTTTGACTTCTGAATTAGTATTTGCTCGGCGTGTTATTGTGTCTTAAACATGCGTAGATTTATAGAACACAAAATAGAAATAGAAAGTTCGTATAAAATAGTATACAAAATAGAAAGCCTTTAAATTGAACAACAAAATTGCAGTTTCACGGTTTGGGTATTGTGCCGATGATATGATTCTTTCTTTTAAATCTATTCAGTTTCTTGGCATAGTTAAATGTAATTCAGATGTTTCGTGCAAATCAAATTTCTACTTCTAAATGGAGAGGCTATATAAAAGTAGTTTGGAGAAACTTGATCTATAAGACTAAAAAAAATTTTTTTTTTTTTTTAATTTTATCAAATTTGACGATTAGAACGCAGTCGGATACCTTAAATAACAGAAATTTACTTTGTAAAACGTAATGACTGCATGAATTGCTTGTAGTATCATACTCTGTTTCAAAAACAATTCATTATCAGCGATACTATTCCTAAGTACCTTTTCTACATAAATAAAAAATCTGATGTGTACACCACATGACTTCCTTGTACGAAATATTAAATTATACGCATTTTTCTTGTATTTCATTTAAACTTATTGGATTGAATTAAATCTACTTCGCCGACAGCGCATAAACCACAATAGAATAAATGCATTCTTTAAAATTCACTCTATTTGTTTACCATAGCGACACTCTGGCGCTAGGTTCACTTAACAGTATTATATTTCGTTCATATTATAACTCAGAATGCACAAAATTTATATCATTTAAAGAATTATTTAATCATTGCCACATGTTCTATTCATATACTATAATAAAGCTAGAACGAAGAATAAAAGAAATTAAGCAAACAAATTAATAATTAAAAAAAAAAACAGTTTTTCACAGACGATTGAGTATTTCTCATTCAATTAATCTAGTTCTCACTTCGCGAGAAGGCAAAAATACATAAAAATTCAAAATATCTGCATTAAAAATTACGAAGTAAATCTTGAACACTTATTTCCTCGAAGAAATTCCAGAAAGGATTAAGCATGATTTAATTCGCAATAATAAATGAAGGCGTTATCTTTGTCGTTGCGCAGCTAAGTTTCTCTAGATTGGCAAAAAATTCACTATTCTGCTGTTTCAAATGTAAACAAGCAATGGCCGCCACCAAAAAGTTCTTAGGCTTAGCGGCACTTAAACAACTTTAAAATTGTTGATAATTCTAAACATATTGCATACAGATTTACTAAAGGCATAAAAACCTTAACCGGAAGATAAGAACAACATAATTCAATCATTTTTAAAGCAAAAAATGTACAATTTACAAACACATAAGAGTAAAGAAACTGAGATCACTGCGCCGGGTAACAGAGTGGATATATATATAAATATATTTATATACATTTGGTGCGGCCGATTGCAACCAAAATACGAGGTGAACATCTACATGTTACAGCATAACAGAAATTGAAATGTGATAATACAAGGAAGCATTGCATAAATTTGTATCATAATGCTCTGTTACATAAATAGTTTTTAAGGTGTATTTTTAAAAACGTTTTTTAAATAAGTGGAAAAATAAATCAAGTACTTTGTCATAAGGTAATTAGACAAGTAGCAAACATAAAAGCGCATTAACAGATGCTCTAGAGGAGTTTTTCTTCCCAGTTGCTGGATGCTTGCTTATCAAGCGTTCGTCGGAAATGATTAGATTCATTTGTCATTTAGCTGTCTCATCCTTCAGAGCGCTGCCCAGGAGCCGACCGATCTTACATCCAACAACAAAAGTTGCCAACACAACAGCTAAGCGTTACATGGAACTCAAGCTGATACACTTGGGTTCGCATTAACCTCCATTAACCACTGTAGTATTCAGGACAGTTGCCAGTAAAAGTATTACCCAAACTTTTCTGCAACTGATCTTAATTCATAAAGCAGCACTATCGTGATCTCAGTTATAACAATACATTAATATACAAGTTTTGTAAATACCTTTTTTAGTTTTTTACAACTTCTTTTACATAACAAAATACAGTTTATAGAAAGGAACTAAAGCAATTTATAATCTGTCAGACTGCTGCTGCTGACAGTAGCAAACTACAACATAAAAACTACCATGCGGTAATTCTGCCTGGCATTGCTGTTTATCGAAATTCATGTTCATTCCATTAGAGTTTTGAGACGAAACAATTGTTTTTCTAAGCATTATTATCTGCATGTCTGAATACTGTAGTGAAATTTTTATATCATGAAAAATCTAGAATACTGTTTTGACTAAGAATTTAATTACTCATTTTACTTAGGTCATTCAAGGCAAGGTCTAAAATGTAAGATGTGCAAGCTAAACGTACATGCTGAATGCCAAGACAAAATTGGACCCTGTCAGGTATGTATATTTTGCGATTTTATTTTTTTTATTAGATATTTCTTATTTTCGATGAAAATAAATTTTATTAATCATAGCATTTATATTGTGTTATGTAGAATATTTCCTTTCCCCTCACCCGCCTAACCTGATGTATTACTTACGAATATAAGTGAACGTTCGAACGTTCTAGAAAAATCTACGAACGTCTGAAGGAAACGTTTAATGTAAGAGCCATCAAGACATATTGCAGGATCGAACCGCAAAATTACTAACCATCTTCAGGGACGCCGGAATTCCTACCGCTTAACTTCTTATATTTGCTAATAGATGGCACCACGAGCGAGAAGCAAAAGCCAATTTATTGCCTCTATCAATTCTTTGTTTTTTCTGTTAATGCAGTGGTGCCCAACCTTTGGCCTATTGCGAGCACATTTCCAAAACATCAACATTTTTGTTAAACATTTTCCAATCTTATGTGATACATCTTAAATATTAATTTCGGCAAATGTTTTTGAGATGAATAATAATATTGGTTGAACTTTATGGAAATCAGAGCAGAGTTCAAAATTATTTTTCAATGCCTTTTGGTTATTAATATGGCTTGATAAATTCAGAAAAAATGGGTGAATTTTTTTCTTTCATCTGATTTATCCACATTTTTTATTTTATTTTATTTTTATTTTTATTTAAATCTGAAAAGCAGTTACAGTCCCAGTCAATTGAAAAAGGGTTTTTCTTTTCCCTGAAGATCTTCGTTCAGTTTGTTCAGTTTAGCTGAACAAACTGAACTGAGAAGCTGTTAATCCGATCTACAGATAACCAATTATTATGGTCCAATTCTTTATAATTTTCGTTTCCGGATTCCAAAAACTGCTTTACTGGTGAAAGAAGTTCTTACAAATCGTTGAAGTACTTTTTCCCTGCTGAGCCATCCAACATTGGAATGAAGCAATAAGATTCCATGTTCTCTATAAAGTTCATCAGTCAGCAATCGATTATTTCATAACGTTTTGCAAGATATCTCTTATGACTATCAATGCTTGCTATATTTTAACAATTAAGAAATATAAAAGAATGGTTAATTTTAAAATAGTATTTTTTGTTCATAGTACCTAATCGGGCTGGCGAGCACATACAAAACGATCAACGAGCACAAGGCTGGGCACAGCTGTGTTAATGCATTTAATTCGTCTAATTAAAAAAAATTTCAACTTAGACCGCTAACTTTTACTACGGTCGAAAACCGTGATTAGAGAGTCCTGTAATGTTTAGTTCATCGCTAGAATAAACTGTGTCACAAAATTCCTTTTGTGTCTTTTACATTTTCGCAACCGTTGATCCATAGATACGTATTTCCAAATTATAAAATGGTTTAAATCGCGAAGAGATTTATGTTTTCGTATTTTAAAATTTTTTAAATTAAAATTTGTATAAAATACAAAATCTAACTTTTTATACGTTTCCCCGGAACCTATACTTAAAAAAATACAATCATTACATAAAAAAATATTTTAAAAAAGAAATAATTTATTCCAAATTTTCGGATTTTCGATGTCATTTACAACTTGCTGTAATGGGTCAGTTAATAAATAAATTAGACTAATTCAAGGTTGATTTTTTTTTTTTTTTTTTTTTTTTTTACTAAAATGCCATTCAGTGATATTCTGTCATTTACCAGTGTGTAATATTCTTAATCATGATTTTGCTATGAGTAGTATTCCGAATTATCATACAAATAAGTTATAAGTTTTGAAAACCATGTATAAATTATCACTGAATCATTTAATAAAAGCCCACCAGCGGCCGAACTGTAAAGTCGCTCAACACTGGTAGTTCGGTCCGAGGCACGAATCCCGCAAACGGGCTGGTTGCACGGGAGTTTTCGTGGTTTCCCTATGTGTAACGTGTATATGAGCAAGTTCTCTTAGAAAGTCCTCCACGAAGGCATCCCTCTCCTTAAGCAGATAGCCCTCGAGGCTTTACCGTAATCACATATACCAAACCAAACCATTTATTATAAGCTAAGATACGGCCAGGCGTATTAGATTTAAAATTATTAGTTTCAGGAATAAAAACCATTTTATACAAAATGTGTAAAGACATTGGGATTTTTGGAAGCAGAAGTTGTTAAAAATGAGCAATGCTCTCGCCTGGATTCGAACCACGGACATCTCGACTAAGCATCGAGCGTGCTGACCACTAAAACCACGAAGGCATGCTAAGAAGGCGGGAGAAATATCTTATATACTTTTCCTTTTAAAGCGCGATTGGGGTTTAGGGGACCCAGTCGCCAGATTCTGGTGGTGAAGAATCATTATTCACCACCTTTTAGTTCAGGCACCACTGTAGAGACATTAGGATTTTTTGTAAGCAGGGGATGTGAAAAATGAGCAATGTCCTCACCGGGACTCGAACCACAAACCTCTCGAATACGCGTCGAGCGTGCTGACCACTACACCACGAAGGCATGCTAAGAAGGTGGGAGAAATACTTTATACTTTAATGAAATTATTTTTGGTGTAGAAACAGTTTCAGAACATAAATGAAGAATACTTAAATAAATGTAAATATGAATGGAGGAAGATTGAGATAAGAAGATTGCAGGATAATAATTTAGAAGAAGCAAATAGAGACTCGAGTGAGAAAAATAGGGTAGAAATAATAAAGACATAAATCACAATGGTGGGGATGTTGGAATCTGTAATCATCTAATAGATCACATGGATGAATACTTTGAGTTCAAACTCAATGACTAATAAGATTATGAATGCTGAGATGAATCATTGCATAAGACTTAGATAATGATTTCAGATTAAAATAGGAATTAAACCATAAAACATGAGATACTACTTCTAGAGACATTAGGTTATTTCGAAGCAGGAGTTATGAAAGTGAGCAATACCCTCGCCGGGAATCGAATCACGGACCTCTCGAATACGCGCCGAGCGTGCTGACCACTACACTACGAAGGCATGCTAAGAAAGCGAGAGAAACACCTTATAAATTTATGAACATTCTAAAAATATATCTAAAAGAGAAGCATATTTATAATAGCGAAACACATTAATTCATTCTCTTTGAATTACATATTTCTTTAATAATCCTTCACTTTAAAATTGCTGTTTTGCCACTGCAACTTTTTTTTTCTTCCTTCCAGCCAAAACCGCGACTGTTGCGAAGACAGAAGTCCACATCAGAAATTGAAACCAAAATTCCAGTCCCTGAACCGGAGGACGAAAGTACGTAAAATAATCAGAAAATTCATTATAGTCTTAGTAATTTGAATACCAATGCCATCAGAGAGTGAATTTGCATGGAATAATTTACGAGTCTCCTCTTGCATTTCTAATAATACGAAACTGAATTTTTAACAATGGAGAGAGTATGGCTGTGAATTATAAAAAGAGTACGGTTGTAAAGAAATGACATAAAGAACTTTTATTTATTCTGAAACTGGTAACTTTTTTTCCTTCTCCTCCCCCTCATTATCAAAAATTTCGTTAGTTAAACATTCCAAACTTATAAGCAAGGGTGTTTTTTTTTTTTTTTTTTTTTTTTTTTTTTTTTTTTACGTTGCATATTTACCAGTTTTGAATTCCTTTCTTGGAATGACTGTCAGTCTTTCGAAGGATACTCATTGGAAAATGCCAAAAAATAATCGCTATTAATACAAGCTCCTTAGTATCACATCTCTGCGTTAATTTAATAGTGCATTAACTAGTCAACTAATTTAAAAGAAAAGTTTTCAAGAAATGAATAACCGCTTATCTAGAAAATTCGATTGAAATTTTTAGAATGATTTATTCCTTCTTTAATTTAATTTAATTTATTATATCGTATTTTGGGGAAATTCTGTCACACGACATGGTCTGACATCGCGGACGCAATAATTCGTTCCAGTTGACAATACAAAAAGGCATAACTTCACGACCATTTTCAAGAGATTTTAGTGTTCTGCACTGTGTATGTCGTCAAAGCCTCTCGATTTCAGGAAGGCTGACAAAACAATGATCTTGTTTACCCTATGCTATCATTCCAGATAGTATAACGAATCACGAGATATAAAATACAACTGAAAAATTGAGGAGACGTGGTTAATTCAGTCTGCCGATTGTTTCCAATGGTACAACACGCCAGAATGCTCTTGAACTTTCTTCGATTAGAGCAAGTTCCTGACGTTACGACCACTATTACTTCACTAAAATAATTGTTCTATGCTATACATGAATTATATATATGTATAAGTCAGAAGCGCTACCTGCCGCCGGTACTCACAATATCATAAAAAATTTCAAAAGCATTCTTTCTCCTTGTTGCGATGTAATGTGATTCAATTAGATACGCATCCTCTTTTTTAAACACAAAACTTATATTAAATAATTGTACAATATATTATAAACAAGAAAAAGACATATAAAACTTGTAAATGCGAGAACAAAATAAAAAATGAAAAATAGATAGCATTCTAGCTGCTTTGCGTATGGGATCGTCTGAGTCTGACAGTTTAACTGAATCAGTGTTCTTTTGGCATAACAGAGTTAGGTTGAGTAGTTCTGTTCCGCTGCACCGGAATACTCCTTCTTTGGTAGTTAATGTTTTACCTGTCAACAATTTGTTTACTATTTTCTTTGGTTAAATTTTATAGAAATGTATTCTAAGTTTCGTGCATCAAACGATGAATATCTTTCATAAAATGAGTTATTATTTGCAAGACTAATGGTTCCGCCATTTTAAACTTATGCTGTTTCTGATCAAGGAGATACTTAAAGCAGCCTTTAGTATTAAATTTCTCCCATCAATAGTATTTTAATGTTCTTAATTTACTCCAGGGCATTTGTTGTTTCAAGTTTGGGATTGTACCATTTGTTAACAATAAATTCAGCATGATTTATGAATTAATAATGATATATTTTTGAATTCTTACATATTTCAGAGCTCAAGAACTTAAACAGATCGAAGGTTATATCGTAAATTTTAAATAAGCCTGTATATAATGCGTTAATTATATTAAAAAAATTATACTAAAAATGTGAGAATTTAAGAATCATCTTACGCGTTTTGGCAAATAAGAGAAAAGTATTTCAAAAAAAGGAAAAACCCTCCAGTTATCATCTTAGTATGAATAAAACTTGTAGAATTATTGCATTATTTATTCCATTGTTTCACTGATGTCACTGATTATCATATTTATATAAATATATATTAACTCATATTTATATAATTCTGAGTTAAAAGAATTTACTATCTGAATACTGGTTTTCATGATTCTATACATAATCAAGTAAATTTATTACAAATGCTAAATGTATATCTTCCTGTGCCATTGCTTTTCTCTTTCCTGCTACTGGTTTCTTGCTTTGTTTGATTGTATTTCATTTGCAATTTATGTGCATAGTTTTTTTCTTACTGTAATGTTTTTAGATCTTTATATTGCATACCCATATTATCGTTCTTTAAATTTAATTGCAAAATATTTCTGTTTGCTAATAGTTATTCATCAGCTGTTAAATGCTGCATTAATAATTTTTAGTTTAGGAAATCAATTCAATTTAATTTCATTTCATATAGATTTTTAGTAAAATTAATTTAACTTATTGCATTTGACAGTATATTTTTTATTTAATATTTATATTTCAGTATTTAATACTGCATTAGGAGGAATAAATTATATTTAATTTATTCAAAACTGTTAATATATTTTTACTATTTAAAATTTTTAATATATTTTTAACATTTAATTTTTTGTTTTGTTCAAACTAGCATTAAGAGAATAAATGCGTCATCTATTCAACAAATAACTTTCTCATTTCCTCTGTTATGTATTACTGATTAAGTTACGAAATATATGACCAGGAAATTTTATTTAAAGAAATCCTAAGAAATTTTCAACAGTAAACGAATTAAGACAGAAACGAAACATTCCAAAGTAAAACATAAAATTATCAAAGCACTAACCTTGTGTACGACGTAGATTTTATTCAAGCCTTTATCAAATTCGAGGGCAGACGGGTGCAGGTCTCTCTTCATCAGGAGAAAAGAAATGTGCAACGAAGGGTAAGGCAACAAACATTTTCCCTCGGTTGCAGATTTCTTTGCTCCTGATGAAGAGGAACCTGTACCTGTTTGCTCTCGAAATCAGTAGAGTCTTGATGAAAGTCGAAGCCAAATACAAAGTTTTATGAGAAAACGAATTATCTGCTAAATAATTTTTATATTTTAACCGCAGTAACTTGAGTTTATAACTAAACTTTTATATATTATAATTGTACTGTAGTTTCTAATAATTTTGTGTGCTATTAATACAGCATTTGTTAATGATTATAATATTATAAAATTAAGAGATTGTATTTTTAGTAATTATAAGATAAAATTAAGCTATTATAAAATCTGTTAATTTGAAGAATTTAATTGTTTTGTATTGTGATGGAAAGTAAATAGTCTTTTCTTTAACTAATAGAAACTTCTAATTCATGTAAAACATGTTTAGTTAATTTAAAAAGCTAGTTTTGTGTCCCGGATTAGGGGAGTTAAACCTAAATTCTTCTTCTTTGCTATCTTATCCCTGAATTCTGTGAAGTTTTATAAACCACTCATAAAATATGATGAATGGCTTTTTTTATTTCTTGCATATCATTATCTTTCAGAATGCTAAGGTTATGATTTTTATTGCCCTACTTACGAAATATTTTTAATTTTTCAGCTTCTTCGTGATCCTTTTCCGATGAAACCTTTCCCTTTTCTTGTGTGTTTTTGTATTATATGCTTTTATTTTCTTGTCACGTGTCTCTTATGTTTGAACTAACAGGCTTTTTTATCACTGAATGCTTGTTTATTCGTTAAGTGTAGCATGAAATTTTATTTTGGCTTTTTGTCTTCATGTTTATTCGTTTTGTGTTGCAAGTGAATGTTACGCGTGTTTTGTTATCCTTCTTAATTCCTGATATGTTAAATACTTGAGGCAGATAAAACACGTAACTAATTCAAAACCATTAAACACATGCTTTGCTATACTAATTATACTGAGACAACCGCCCTACTTCAAAAAGAAAATCGTTGAAGTAGAGACAAAGTACGCAATTCATTTTTACCTGCTCTGCACAAGATGCTTCAAGCAAATTGGATATTTTGACTTAAAGACGTATTGTGTCTTATCGTCATAAGATTATTGGTACTGGTAAATGCATACAGTCTTGGATGTAGAGCGTTTAATAATAGACGGAAGCGAAAACTGAGTTTATCATGGATATAAACTCGTCACTTAAACAGAATGTAAATTCTACTGGTCTTTCATCTTCGATTCAAGTAATGGAATATTAGCTAGCCATCCAACAAGAAACATCTCCGACTGATTCCTCATTTGGCTGAAGCTGTTTAGAAATCTATAGCAAGAACAGTATCAGGTAGGTTTATCAGGTATAAAATTGCAGTAGAGCGTCTCTTATTCGAAAGAATATTTTGGCATATGAGTTCAGTTACTGTGTTTATGCTAAGTACTAATATATTTCCAGTAATAAACTATTGCAAAAGTACAGCCTGTAATTTGATGTATGTCGCTCTCATCTTAAAGAAGGCCTTCGCTACTTTCGCAGGGAAAGTTGAGTATTGTGAGACCTATGCCGTGGGTGATACAGTTTACAGGGTTTGTCCGGAAAATAGTAGCAGTGATTTTTTTTAAATTTTATTCACAATGTTGACACATCGACTTAGTTAGTTTTCAAAATATGCCCCTTCTGCATCAATACAGCGTTTCCAACGACTCTGCCAGTAACTGAAAGCTCTCTGGAACGCAGAAACTGTAATGTTCTTCATCTTCCTTATTACGGCCTCTTGAATGTCCTGGATCTAACTGTGGTGCCGTTCTTCCCTCTCGGGGGCTTGGCTCAGGCGAACCGCCTGGGAAGTACTGGTTAGGATCTACCTAGGCAGTCTCATCCACGGGGGTATATAATTTCACTTCACAGGACTAGAACCCGAGTATTGTACTCAGGTTGGTTCAGGCTTGGCAGGGATCGTACTGGTACTGTCGTGTCTGTTCCTTTGTCTGTGGTGGAGCTATATCGGAGATCGTCGACCGAGTCCCCGGGGGTTTGACCCCATTCAGTTCTCGTGGCGGGGACTGACAGAATGGGCAGAGCACCCACAAACAATGAAATTTTTGCCGATGGGGTGGTGCCCGGAGGCAAGGTGACAGAGTTTTGACATAGCAACGTTTTCGTTCTGCCCAATGCTTTGTAAAAGC